TTCCTTTTGAAGGTCACTTGATTCATCCTCCGATTCATGAGAAATTATCGGAAATGTTAGCGCTCATCTCTGAAAGTCGCTTCCGCCCTTTACCTGGCTAGTTTTTGGTTGTTCCCAGTGTCTCCTGCTTCACTTTATTCTTGTTTATGTTGTCTTAGACATTTTGAACCTGGAAGGAACCTGCTGCTCAGTGTAGCCTTCCGCCAGCAGAACAACACTGCAAAAAAATGACAATCTAAGCATGTATCGTTTTCCTAAATTTAGACAAAATTCTAATTTCATAATTAAACTTATTCAACACAGCTTATGAATAAGATTAATTTGCTTGCATTTGTGCATATTGTCTTATTTTAGGAAATCTTACAAAGTACAATTTTCTTACTACACTGGCAGATAATTTTGCTAGTTTTACGCCGTCTTGTCTCAAAACAGAACCAGTTTATCTTAAATTTCAAAGGGTATTTTCTTGCAGTGCATGATTAAACCAGGATTTAAAAATTAATTTTTTTTTTAAATAAAGAGCTGTCTCTTAATTTTTTCCACTGTTGTTTATATAAGCCATTTTGGTACAGAGAACTGGAACAGTTGAAAGTAGATTGAGGTCACCAACGCACTGCTGTAGTAACACAAATAATGCAGAACCACTTGTGACCACGCTTTTGGCGAGATCTTTCTGCAGCAGAGTAACGCTGTTCTTCCTCAGCAGGCATCCAGGGAGGGGATGGGAGGCAGCAAAAATGTGGACTGTCGGGGGGGAAAGCAGTATGTGTGTGTGTGTGTGTGTGGGGGGGGGGGGGGGGGGGTCCCCGAGAACTAGGTCGATAAACACTGAATTAAGGTATAGGTGCAGCATAGTATAACATCAGAGTGCCCAATTAAGAGCATAATTAACACTGACAATTAACACTTCCAGTGTTCCCAGAGTAACAGATGGCTCATAATTACAACGTGAATCACATACTCACTGGCACGTGCCTGACACACAATCTTCTTTTCACTTTATCTCTCCATCTACCTGCAGCATCACCTAACGGCATTCAGTCCTTGCTTGCTTCCGACTTCCTCAGAGTCACCGCTGGCAATATGCAGTTGCAAAATATACATGATAATCATCCTGTGGCGCAGTGCTGTACCCCAAGTATGGAAGGGAAATGTTAAATTCGACATTGTTTGCCTTCCCCAATACGCCTCTCTGTGAGCTGAAAGTGGAACGAGACGTAAACAGATGGCAAGGCGCTCTCGCCATGGGGCCATGGATGATTAGTGAATATCGAAAAACAAAACAGTTGTTTCTTCAGCAGACAGGCAAAGGGGGCGGGCATTCATGTGTCTGGGTTTATTGGTGGAGACCAAGCCTTGATTAGCTCTAGATAAAATAAATCAGTACTTAGATTGGCCATAACCAGTGACTTTGCTAAGTTGCATAACTTAATCTCCACTGGCAGAAGTCCGTGTGGCCTTATCACATATTCACTGCCCGGCAGATGCTAAAATACAGTAGCTCCTAGATATAGCTGGCTATCTTTACAAAGCCGCACCATGTTTGCTTCATGTGTCCTGCAACAAGAACCTGGGTTTATTGTCTTTAAATGTGCCCTCATCAGTAAGACTCAGTGTTCAAACATCTGATACCTTTGGCCAGTTCTTTCTTACGCCGGGTGCGAGATCATGGTTCGGCCCAATGGGAATCCCCAACAAGGCAAGACGGTCCCTTAGATGAACACACATCTAAAGACTGTTGCATGTCACACTTAGGGTAGGCTTCTAGAAGAAGATTTACATTTTTCTACTTTGCCAACTAGTCCCATGACCCAGTTTAAGGCCTCTGTGAAAATGCAGTAGTGTGCCACAGCAGAATGCCAGCATGTGGTTAACCACATCTAGATGTCAGTTTCTCAATAAACCCGAGGCTCATTTCAGAGCAGCCTTGCCTGTCTGACAGTCAACCCCTCCTACACCCTAAGCAGAGCAAACATCACCTTTGTACAATGGTCCCATGCAGACCAACTTTCTATGACCATTTTTGTTTAGCCAGCTTCTTGATTTCATTGGACGGCTGAACACAGACGGTGATTTTTCACACCTGACATTTTGGACTGCTTTGTGGGAGATATTTGGAGGTATGTTTGTAATCGTGAAAAAGTGAAAAGAACTTGGCATCAGGGACCAGAATTGGAAGCCTGTGCTTCATAACTTAACTCAGTCAAGTGTTCAACATGAGAACTGGACATAAACAAGACCATCATACGTACAAGTAGATGTCTATAAGGGAGGCATGGAGTGGAGCTAAGTGATTTGAGAACAAAGCTAATGTTGGGGAATACCCTGCAGAAGCCCCAGTACCAGCAAGAAAGGACACGGCGTCACAATGATGTCATCACTCCATGCTGTTTCACAGGCTGCCTAGGCAAAATCAGGCATTAGTAGGGATCTGGGTTTGTTTGATAATTCACATAATAATGCTGTCTATGAGAGTACATAAGAACACAGGAAATTTACAAACGAGAGGAGGTCATTTGGCCCATCAAGCTCGTTTGGGGAGAACTTAACTAATAGCTCAAAGTTGTTAAAATCTTATCTCGCTCTGATTTAAAGGAACCCAGGGTTTTAGCTTCCACTACACTAGCAGGAAGACTATTCCATACTCTAACTACACGCTGTGTAAAGAAGTGCTTCCTCAAATTCATTTTAAAATGTTCTCCCGCTAATTTCCACTTATGGTTACGAGTTCTAGTATTTAAACTAATATTGAAATAGCCATTTGGCTGAACAGCATCCAAACCCGTTAGAATCTTATATACCTGGATCATGTCCCCCCTTAGTCTCCTTTACTCGAGGCTAAACAGATTCAGCTCAGCTAACCTCTCCTCATAAGACATTCCTCTAAGACCAGGAATCATTCTCGTAGCCCTCCCTTGCACCCTTTCCAAGGCAGCAATGTCCTTCTTAAGGTATGGTGATCATACCTGCACACACTATTCTAGGTGGCGTCTTACCAAGGAATTATATCCTCCTGAGACCCCACCCATTCATTTATGTCCATTGTAGTGGACATTTTGTTTTGGCATCTATCTTTTCACTGATGTAAGGAAACTTATTTATTCCTGTTGTACACTAAAGAGGACATGCTGTGAAATTAAAAATAAAAATACATTTGAAAAAATCTAAATTGTAAGATGTCTTATTTCCCCCAAAGACAAATAACCTAAAATTGAAGGACACTTTTTTCCTTGGGTCTCAGGAGGATATAATCATAGCATCACTTCCCTTGACTTAAACTCCACACACCTAGAGATGTAACCCAACATTCTATTGGCCTTTTTTATTGCTTCCCCACACTGGTGAGAGTGGGACATGGAAGCATCAACATACACACCGAGATCTATCTCGTAATCAGCTACCTTTATTTCAGTGGAACCCATAAAATATCTGTACTTTATATTTCTGCTCCCTGCATGGATTACCTTACATTTATCTGTGTTAAATTTCATCTGCCAGGTATCAGCCCAGTCGCTAATTAAATCCAGATGCCGTTGTAGCCTCTCTGCTGCTAGATCAAGCTAGTATGCCTTTGTTAGACTGTACCATTTTTACAGTATGCTGCTGTTAGACCGTTTTATTCTTAGACTGTCATTGTTAGACTGTACTGTTGTTAGACTGTTCCATTGTTAGACTATGCCGCTGTTAGACTGTTCCATTGGTGGACTGTATCATTATTAAACTAGGCTGCAATTAAACTGTTCCATTGTTGGACTGCAGTTATAGAGTTCCATTGTTGGACTGTACCATTGTTAACCTCAACCCATAATAAGATACCCCATCTGTCTGCTCATGGGACTGTCCATCCAACTCAGCAAACAAATTCCAGTGAAGAAGCCCCTGACCACTGAGGACTGTGTGTGCGTTTTATGGGCCAAATGCGGCTCAAAAATGTTCTTTTGCAACCTTGTGCAGACTTCAGCACCTACTCTGCTGGTCACGGTTGCTTTTTCATTCCTCAGAACATCATGTGAAGCACTGCTCAAAACAAACTGCGCTACACCTTCTGCAACATTCAAAGAGCCCACAGATGTTTAGTTAATTATGGTGATGCACAGAGCTGCTTGAAGGAAGATTCTGGTCTCTCATAAATACAAATTAATTATATTAATATGTCAGCCAGTTCCAAAGAACAAGAAATATATATAAAACACAATCAAATTCTCATTAGGGTCTCTATAATCACTGATTAACACTCATAATACCCCTGCAAAAAGGACTCATGCAATTTAAAAAATAGAGTAAAGTACTTGATTATGAAAATACCATGTTATTTCTAATTCCACTCTAGTACATGAAGCTAATTTTAAATAATGACGTCAATATGCACTCAGAGTCTCAACAACAGCCTGCGACAATAATGAAGAAAATACTGTCAGTATTGCGTTAACGCTTTCAGCTGGTGTGCTTCGCGTTTCATAATAATATTTCCAAACTTGTTAATAGTCTTGCGACCAAACCTGTCCGGTTCTCTGATCAAAACAGCTGGGTAGAACACATGTAGCGGACGTTGGAGATCGCGTTGCCTGGCAACGCCGAGCGTTGGCAGCTGACCAAACTGCGTTTTCAGAATGACTCAATGGATGTTGGAGAGTTAGTGGGCGCAGCACTAAAATAACCTAATAACAAGCTGCTCTGTCAGTCGTGAACCGGCTTTCTTGTTTAAGGTCACCGTAATGCAGCGGCCTATAATTGTTCCTGACCCATGGGGACAGCTTTCACCAGGAGAGGATTCAAAACGTGCGAAATGCAATCAGCACCGAGCGCACATGGTGGGTGGGCAGGTAGGGGGGCAAAGACTGATGTGAATCAAGCGAGCGCTGGCGCTCTCAGCGGGGTCGGGGTAATGTAATTTTGGCTTTCCATTACAGTTTTGTTTATTCGTCCATTTCTAATCCCAAAACACACACACACACACACACACACACACAAAGTATAGCTGTTAAGCAAACAAGCAAATATTGGCTTTGCATTGTTTTATTTCCTGTGCCACTGGATTCAAAAGAGTACAAACGTGTTTTCACATTCAGAGTACGCTCGACGTAGACACCTGAAGGAGTTTTTCTGCCGAATGTTTAACATACCCCTGCGTACCATGCTGGCCTGTTCCTTTCACAGGACGGCCCAAACACAGAGAGACAAAAACTACCCATTCGTGAGAAGTCATTCCACCTGTTAGCGCAGTCTGGTTCAGGGCTCAGGAACCGCCTCTGTACGACGGCGTCTGCGCTTTCAGCCCCAGGATGCGAGATGATCAGCAAATGGCTTCTTAAACGCTTTGATAAAGAGGCAAAGCACAAACGGGATGTGGAGGTGATGTGCAGCGAACGAACAACCCTGTCAGCCCCAGTGTAGATGATGGTCCTAAGGTCCCCAGGATGCTTCGAAATGTTCTCCTAGGTGAGGGGGTGTGGACCACTAGCATGTGCCCCCGTTTTTCTGGGAACAGAGTCTGTTTGTTCATAAAGTCTGGTGATGTAGGAGTATCCAATGCAGTCAGAGATAAAACTGCAAATGCAAGTGGCTGAAAATTGCTCCATGACGGCTTAAAAATCGAACGACTTCACCAGCGACGTGAGCCGCATGTTTCCTGTGCTAGATATATGGATTAAAAAGCCACTTGCAAGGGACCCAGGCTGAGTTTTTTTTGTTTTATCTCAACTTTTTTTTTTTTTTTTTTTTTTAGGAAAAAGCAATACAAAATGGACTTTGTTTCAGCCAACGCTTCATGAGATAAATTCGCTCCAAGTTTTGCATAGATGGATAAGAAGAGACGCTTACAGACCAAATGCTTATTCGGTGATGTAGAAGTAAGTTTACACAGAAAGCAAAGCAGGAAGAGCAGCACCCTTAAAATCAGGGCACTGGAAAATAATAATAATAATAATAATAAAAACAAAACATCCCATGTATCCGTGCAGTTCGGGATTAAGAACTCCTCCTCTCACTGTGTCACCCCCCCAATAGCCACGGGACAATAAATTACAACTGATATTAAATTAAATATTACCCCCAAAAAATTCTGCATAAATATGTTGCTTCTTTAAATAGCTAACATAAATATCGCATAGAACACAATGGCTTTTAAGACCTCACAGTATCGTTACATTTACAGCTGTTATGAGGATGTAAATAAATACAGGTGCCATTTGTGCCAAGCGAATGGCTCCGTACATCAGAGGGCGCACTCCGCCATGCCTTCTGCTGGCGTGCCACGCAGGGTCCGGCCTGGCTCCTGTCCACTCCTTTCTCCCTCATTACTCCGCGTGCGCCGAGCTGTTTTCGGCTCCACGTAACTGATGCGATTGGGGAGGAAGAGAGCAGCTCCGACGGGACCTTTGCTGATGTGCAGAGCGAGGCCCGTTAAAACACCCCCGCCAGTGTTTTTCGCAGAACTCTTCAACCGGTTGTTATTTTTTTACGGCATAAGTAATGTGATTCTCAGAGAACATTCTGGAATGGCCATAACGACGTCCCTGGACCAGAGGTGAAGTCCAAGCGTTGGAAAGATGGGTAAACTCAACAAGATCTTTTCTAAAAAAAAAGTTCTGCAAATTTCCAGGCTAGTTTCTTCTTATTTAAACACTTTACACAATTTAAACATTTTATACAAAAAAATAAGCCCGGCAGGCTAGTTTTTTTTATAGACTAATACTTCTAATTAATCTGTGATATTGAATTGAATTATGCTGACGCTGTATACGGCTGTTTATCTGACAGCATCTGCATGATATGTTGCAAGAATCAAGAATTTCAGCTGAGATTCACCATGCCAGGTTATTTCTTCCCTGATTGATCGTGTTCGCAGTTACAAAGTGAGGTTCTAATGTATTAATTTACTACTAATGTACTATGTTCTAATATTCGTCTTCCACATAACGTCCTGGTTCCGGGTCCATGGCTGCAGAATTGAGCAGGGTTTCCTGACCCGCTAATAAGCCCGAATGGACTGCCTCATTAAACCTTGGCTCGCTAGTGGAGATACGCAATGGCGGTACTTGGCACTGAAGTCTTCCTAAAGTGCCCTCTTTGCCGAGGAACCAGATGACAGTAATATCTCCCCAGTCGTCAAAAAACAATACTGGTCTCATGCACCCTGTTGGTTGGTCCTGGTTTTGATCCTATTTACACTGTAAACACACAACCAGGATTAAGTGTCTGGTTCACGGTTTGCAGGAATTCCTCCTCAAAATGTTTCTGAGTAGACCTGAAGCCAGTAAACCCCAAATTCTCAACCAAAAAGTAAAATAACATAGATGGTGAATAATTCAGGGAAATCCGTCAAATTAATAAGGCTAAATGAACCACCACCAAAATATATCAACATGCCACTATTCATTTTGACAAAGGTATTATCTTACAAAGAACTGCTTTACTTCCATGTGAGGAATCAATTTTAAGGAGTTCAGCAGGAATGTAAGGAAATTAAACAACCCGACATGGAAACATAGGCCAGGGTGACAGTCACTGTACACACACACAGAAATCGGACAGTATCCATGCTGGTTTTCAGCTTAAAAAGATCTCCAGAACAATGACCACAAAGTAGACAATGGAGGGATGGTCACTTCCCTGTGCTGTTATCTTCATCCACAAGAACTTGTGACTTTGCTGGGCGGCTCGGCCAGAAGCAGAGCCTGCGATATGATTGGTACAGAGCGGAACCTGAAGACGGTAAAGGGCAGCGGCTTCCTGAGTCGCCAAACCGCCCTGGCGTGCCGTGTGGTTTGGTGTTTGGCTCACTGTCAGCCTATCGCTAACCGGCGATTTTCCCATTCAGATTGTTGTTTAAGAGAGCGTGCGGACTGCAAGACCAGCGTGTCCGACACCACGCCCCCCCCCCGGAGCCGGGGTCAGGTCGTTCCGGATACACAAACAGAAAGCCCAGGACTCCCACTCGCTTATCCGCCTGCACCCGCAGTCAGAAACGGGACACCTATCCGGGAACAGTCCCGTTAATGATCCGACGGGGATTCCCCACAGGATTCCGGCACGATCCTGGAATCCAAAATCAGTTTCACAGAACATTTTACTGGGGCCCAGCCTCCTCAATAGAAAAACTCCAAAAAATAAAATAAAATCCAATGCATGTTCCAGTTCTTCTGCATGTGCAGCTCCACCCCCCCCCCCAAAAAAAAAACACTCCCATGCATGGTCACTTGGCGTATTGAGCATAGAAGGCCACTTTGACTCTCTCAATCTGATGGCACAGCTTAATGGCGGGGCCCAGCTTTAGGTCCATGCATTCCTGGACCGTGGGCAGGGTGAGGAGCAGCAGAGCCTGGCCGTCAATGTCCTGTGGGGGAGAGACCTGATGACATCACACTCACAGACACTGCCTCCGATTCTACAATTTTTAAAGTTGGGGATGCGGCCTTATTTCTAGCAAATCATATGTTTTAAATTGGTGAGTGACAGGGGAGGGAGCCAATCAGATCTCAGCTGGGGCAAGTGTCTGTGTGGCCCCGCCCCTGCATACACCCCTACCCCAATAACAGCCAGGCCAAGGGGTTAAATAAGCAGCGAGCCCTTGTACCTGTTCCTGGAATATCTTGGCAAGTGCTGCACAGTCGGTGGAGCGGATGAACTGGACCACAGCGGCCACCGTCCACTCCAGGGGGTTGCTATCCAGAACCAGCTTCTCCTCCTCCTCGTTCTCCACCTGCGACACCACGGGAGGTCAAGGCCCACCCCCAAAGAGCCGCCTGGGCTACCCGGACCGCTCTCCTCACCTTGGTCACCTGACGCTTGGCCGGGTGGTACTTCGCGGTGTCGCTGTAGGACAGGGAACGGGTGGTGCGTTTGCGGCGGGCGCGGTCCGAGCCTGCGGGGGCTCCTGGGTCGGTGCTGCGGCGCAGCGTAACAGCGCGGCGCGGACGCTGGCTCACGGACGCCTCCACCGACGACGTGTCAGTCAGGTCCCCACGTGGCTCAGAGCTGGTGCCCTCCTCACTGCCTGACTGGTCTTCGCCATCCTCATCTTCCTCACTGTCCTATAAGGGGGCGGGTGGCACATCCGGCGATGAGATCCCCCTCATGAAAAACAACAGACACCCCCCCTCAACTCCTCCAAAAGAGCAGCTGACCTGAGGTGACCCCACTGGAGTATAATCCACTGCTGACGATCTACGCTTCTTCTGGACGAAGATGGATTTCCTCTTTTTCCTGCGTCTGGCCGGCTTGGAGATCCCGCTCTCCGGAGAGGCTTCCCCCACTGACGTCTTACGCTTCTTCCCATAGTAATAAGCTGTTAACCCCAAAGAAGCCGGGCTTCAGCAACGCGGTCCACGCAGGCATTGACACACTCGCTGTGCTACTCTCATAACATTTATAACACACATCATTAAAAACAGACAAATGAATCCCCTGGAGGAGTGACAAGCTGAACAAGTGACGCCATGTAATGGGCAGAAATGCAGTTCAGCAAGCTACTTATGATAAAATGTCCCCCCCAAGCACGTCAGAAGCGGTTTCGTATCAATAGGACGTGCTGTGAGTGTGCATGTGCGTGCGTGAATTGGACTCCGCCGTGATACTTTTGTGTTTAGATGCATTTGCGTGGGTGCAGGAAATCACACCCTGAACAGGCTAACCACGTCTTCAGAAGAAAGCGAGCGTGGGCTAGCTGCTGCGCGTTTAACCGCCCGCCGGGACACAGGTGTGCAGCGTGATCTTTCCGGACGGTCACGGCATGGGAATGTTACCGCTGGGTGATCGGCTCGCTCACGCTGCATACTGACTGCAGCATGTTCCTACAACAGCAAAAGTTACTAGTGTTTATCTCCCTAAAGCAACATCCAGCTCCAGTCTGTCTGGCCAAAAGCCCTTTAAAACTGCCTGGGGCAAACAGAAATGCCCCGTGATGCAGCGTAACCCTAACTTCAACCCAGAATGCACCTGGATGTGCCCCAGGCCCACAGTGACAGGAGCCGCTCTTTTCTGATCCCTCTTTCAGATGAGTATGATAATGTAATGTAATGAGTAACGTAACGTAATGAGGTTTCTATAATTCACGTTTTTCCTGTTCTTTGCATTCCTGCAGTATTCCTCTTTTAGTCTCTGTACTTAATTCTATATATATACTGTATTTGGTCTTTGTATATCTGCATACTCAGTGCATTTATCTATTTACATACTGAATTTGGTCTCTGTATTTGCTCATTCACTGTACTTGATCTCTGTGTAATTGCAGTCACTGTTTTTGGACTCTGTATTTACACACTCACTGTATTTGGTCTCTGAGTATTTGCACACTCACTGTATTTGGACTCTGTATTTACACACTCACTGTATTTGGTCTCTGAGTATTTGCACACTCACTGTATTTGGTTTTCGTCTGCACAGAGCAGTTCTCAGGGCACTTGTCGGTGACCAGCGTGGGGCTGAACAGATTGGGGCAGCACTGCAGCTTCAGGCAGACCTTGCGGCAGAAGTCAGACACCTGGTCTGACCTGCGCACGATCCTGATGGTCGACCTGTACGTCTTGCCCTTGTACCTGCAAGATGGGGGACAGCAGTCACTCGCATTGACACCAGAGGCTCTCCTGCACTCTAACCCGAACCCAATGCCTGGGAACACAGATTACCGGATTATACATGTATGAAAACCACATGAGATGTGTGCTAACTACATTAACTACACTTGTTGCCCGGACCAAGGTCACACTAGAGCTCTCATGGTCTGTCGCCTTGCGATAGCACAGCTTTCTGCGCAGCCTCTTCAGGAAGATGATGCCTGTTCTTCTGTACCGCTGCTCTCCCCCGCAAAACGGGGGTGGGGGGGGCTTACTTGGCTTTCAGCGTTTCCTCTTGGAAGTTCCACTGGGGGTCCTCCACGAGCTGCAGCTCCCTGAGCACACGGCCTGGCTTGTACGCTGCGTTGATCAGCATGCTGAGCACCTGCGGGAACCAGGACGTGGGCTTCAATGGCCGTGTGTTGGGTGAAGGTATCCCAAACCCAAAGACGAAAAGGTGGGAAAATGGTAACAGGGGGTTGTGGCACCCTTTTCCTCTCTCACCTCCTTGAGCACCAGGGTGCATTTGCCCGGTCCCACGGCCTGGGGCAGCTCTGCGATGCGGCCCTTGTTCAGGTACGGCCCGGAGAAGCACCGATGGTTGACGAATATCTGGGAGCAACAGTACTTCCCATTGGTGGAGCCTGTGGTGTTTCAAACTCGAGTTTAGGGAAGATTACATCAATTCCACAAGTCTCCATATTGGAAATCTATAGGATATTCCGTCTGATAAATCCAGCAAAACTCCTGTTTGGTCAGAGAGATTTTACAGCAGTTGGGATGAGGGGTATCAGTCAGGACAATGTGCAGTCAGCTCAGGGATGGAGAGGTACAGGAGTGAAGCCTGCATTGCAGATGGCCAATAGGACTGTACGGGGGTGGGGCCTATGTCACAGTCAGCCAATAGGACCGTACAGGGATGAGGCCTGCATTGCAGATGGCCAATGGGACTTTACAGGGGTGGGGCCTATGTCACAGTCAGCCAATAGGACCGTGCAGGGATGAAGCCTGCATTGCAGATGGCCAATGGGACTTTACAGGGGTGGGGCCTATGTCACAGTCAGCCAATAGGACCGTGCAGGGATGAAGCCTGCATTGCAGATGGCCAATGGGACTTTACAGGGGTGGGGCCTATGTCACAGTCAGCCAATAGGACCGTGCAGGGATGAAGCCTGCATTGCAGATGGCCAATGGGACTTT